TGAATAATAAGCAGAGTTGCAATAAATAAATAACTGGATAAAATCAAATCTGTAGAATGAGGCATACCACTGACCCACTGTACAACAGTCACCATCGGAGAATGGTGACAACATAGAAGAGAATGTGCTGCATTGGTGTGGTGACACAGCCTGACACCAAAATTCACTGATGAGAACTGGTTCCACAACCAAAGAGTTATCTTGCATTTATATTAGCATCAGATTTACTACAGCCTTGGAGGTGCTTCATAAATGGTGTGATTCTTCTAATAGGTAGGCACTGCATATATACAATGAAAAAATTTTCTTTTACATGTATGTATATCTTACAAATGTGACAAAATAAATTAGCATGATCATTTTCCTTTAAATCCCCCCACCCACCCTCACACGCGCGCACACACACACACACACGCGGGCACATACGCCGTCATTTTCCTTTAAATCCCCCCACCACACACACATATATATATATATATATATATATATATATATATATATATATATATATATATATATATATACATACATATATATATAAAACATGCAAAAAATCTAATATAATGACATTCCTAATGAAAGCCTTTTGTGTAACCTGTCTTTTATTTCAAACAGAACTACTCCCCCACAAGAAAGCACCAGTTCTGCAAACATTCAGGGCCATACTACATGAAACCTGGTTTCCAAAACAATTTTGTAAACAGGTTCTAGGGAGAATTATCTAAAACAATGAACATTCACAAAAAGTACCAGATTTGAGCAGTTACTGCACGTTCTCCCATGGCAAACAGGACTCAATTCAAACTGGGATTATATTGGTTTTAGTTGTCAATTAGATACCCAGCCCTACTGTCAATTCAATTCATTTACAATAAAGTGGACCTAACATGTGACGTGTTCAACAGTGAACATTTTTATATACAACTATAGTTTGGTTTGGTTTAGCAAACAATTTCTAAAACAGGTCAATCTGTTTCAGTCTCATCAGATGTACTCTATGATCATGTCTTTGGTTAGCTTTAATATGAACTGATTTCATTCACTGACTGACCTGCATCACACCAGACAGATGTACTCAATGATCATGTCTCTAGTTAGCTTAAACATCAACTGATTTCATTCACTGACTGACCTGCATCACACCAGACAGATGTACTCAATGATCATGTCTCTAGTTAGCTTAAACATCAACTGATTTCATTCACTGACTGACCTGCATCACACCAAACAGATGTACTCAATGATCATGTCTCTAGTTAGCTTAAACATCAACTGATTTCATTCACTGACTGACCTGCATCACACCAGACAGATGTACTCAATGATCATGTCTCTAGTTAGCTTAAACATTAACTGATTTCATTCACTGACTGACCTGCATCACACCAAACAGATGTACTCAATGATCATGTCTCTAGTTAGCTTAAACATTAACTGATTTCATTCACTGACTGACCTGCATCACACCAGACAGATGTACTCAATGATCATGTCTCTAGTTAGCTTAAACATTAACTGATTTCATTCATTTACTGACCTGCGTCACACCAGACAGATGTACTCAATGATCATGTCTCTAGTTAGCTTAAACATTAACTGACTTCATTCACTGACTGACCTGCATCACACCAAACAGATGTACTCAATGATCATGTCTCTAGTTAGCTTAAACATCAAATGATTTCATTCACTGACTGACCTGCATCACACCAGACAGATGTACTCAATGATCATGTCTCTAGTTAGCTTAAACATCAACTGATTTCATTCACTGACTGACCTGCATCACACCAGACAGATGTACTCAATGATCATGTCTCTAGTTAGCTTAAACATCAACTGATTTCATTCACTGACTGACCTGCATCACACCAGACAGATGTACTCAATGATCATGTCTCTAGTTAGCTTAAACATCAACTGATTTCATTCACTGACTGACCTGCATCACACCAGACAGATGTACACAATGAGCATGTCTCTAGTTAGCTTAAACATCAACTGATTTCATTCACTGACTGACCTGCATCACACCAAACAGAAGTACTCAATGATCATGTCTCTAGTTAGCTTAAACATCAACTGATCTCATTCACTGACTGACCTGCAACACACCAAACAGATGTACTCAATGATCATGTCTCTAGTTAGCTTAAACATCAACTGATTTTCCTTACTGTCTGACCTGTATCACATAAAGAACTATACTCATGTTATATAATCTACAATGATTTGCTGGCCAAGCCCTTGCCAATGAAAGTCCTCACAATCATCTGCATGTGTTACTGATTACAAAATTTTACAAAATGTACTGAAATGTAAAGGCCTGTGGGGCAGACTGTATCTTAAATCCGATGATATTTGTCTGACTTGATGCAGTTTTCCTTGAAAAAGTTATTTACTTTTTTTTAAATTTATTTAGTCTGTTGTTTAATTATTGTAATTAATTAAATCAGTGTATCTACTGTGATTAAACATAATTATCCAAAAGTCCAGAATCTTTCAGCCTTGGTGCTTATATTTCTTTGCACTATAAACATGATTTATGTGCTCCAGGGGAAAATGCACTGTACAGTAATATTAGATTCAGAACATTACTAATTACTTTTCATTAAATAAAGTTATTCCAATTTGTTATTTAGAACACAACACCAACAAATATGTCGCAGACAAAATAAACAAATTTGCAGGACACCAGTAGCCTCTCTTGGCAGTGGTGAAACGTTGCCAGCTAGCTTGGTTCGAGCACGAGGTGAGACATGATTTGATTGCAAAGACTACTTCAAGGAACACTGGGTGGGGGAGGAGGGAGGGGATAGTCAAAGAAGAGAAGGGCAAAAAAGAATCCGGAATGGACAGGACTTAGTTATCATACACCTGTTCATAAAGTGTAAGACAGAGAAAGATGACAGGTTTTGTATGCTAGTGCTACCCTAACAGGTCAAGGGTTATGTTATGTTATATGGGACAGATACAGATATCTTGCATGCAGTAGTGAACATTCAATGAAATCTGGAACTTCTCTGCACATTTTGCAAATATAAAAAATAATCTCTCCCTAAACTAGACACAGAAAAAACAGAATTGAAGATGCTGGTCAACAAAGATATGGGTATTTTTCTAATAATAATGATTAATTAGAATAGACCACACAGATGAAGTAGATGTACCCTAGAGGTGGTACCATAGAGTTGTCAAATGTGAGCTTTTCCCCAGAAAAACTCAGTGTTTAAAGGTAATGATAAAAATAAACATAGATTAATTAAAAATTTAATTGACTACCTCAAGGTTAGTTATTTATACAGCGTAATAAAATATGCATTATCAAAATCAAGATCAATCAGCACCTGATGGGTAATGCTGTCAGTATCCTGTCTCTGTCTTACTTCCCTAGATCAATCAGCACCTGATGGGTAATGCTGTCAGTATCCTGTCTCTGTCTTACTTCCCTAGATCAATCAGCACCTGATGGGTAATGCTGTCAGTATCCTGTCTCTGTCTTACTTCCCTAGATCAATCAGCACCTGATGGGTAATGCTGTCAGTATCCTGTCTCTGTCTTACTTCCCTAGATCAATCAGCACCAGATGGGTAATGCTGTCAGTATCCTGTCTCTGTCTTACTTCCCTAGATCAATCAGCACCTGATGTGTAATGCTGTCAGTATCCTGTCTCTGTCTTACTTCCTTAGATCAATCAGCACCAGATGGGTAATGCTGTCAGTATCATGTCTCTGTCTTACTTCCCTAGATCAATCAGCACCTGATGGGTAATGCTGTCAGTATCCTGTCTCTGTCTTACTTCCCTAGATCAATCAGCACCAGATGGGTAATGCTGTCAGTATCCTGTCTCTGTCTTACTTCCTTAGATCAATCAGCACCTGATGGGTAATGCTGTCAGTATCCTGTCTCTGTCTTACTTCCCTAGATCAATCAGCACCTGATGGGTAATGCTGTCAGTATCCTGTCTCTGTCTTACTTCCCTAGATCAATCAGCACCTGATGGGTAATGCTGTCAGTATCCTGCCTCTGTCTTACTTCCCTAGATCAATCAGCACCTGATGGGTAATGCTGTCAGTATCCTGTCTCTGTCTTACTTTCCTAGATCAATCAGCACCTGATGGGTAATGCTGTCAGTATCCTCTGTCTTACTTCCCTAGATCAACTAACTTGTCATTGTCGAATAGCTTTGAACCAGACATACACCTCTGATGGTGAAAACAACAATACACATTTAAACATGGGGGTCTAGTGAACTAAAACCTAGATATGATGAAATTCATAAACGCTACCAACACTCCGGACACAACAAATTATAACAAAATCAGTTTTTAAAAATTAAGAAAAAGATGAACTATAAGTATATATTATAAAACAATTCTCCAAAGCAAAACATAATTATTTAGCTATTACATTATTTGCTATGTCTCCATTTGCAGATCAAAATAAAGGTTTACCTTTCTGTACTCTATCACAGTCATTTCTAAAAGCCTTCTCAATTAAATCATGTACTTTGTGTCAACTGAAATGTGTATGCGTAGTTTCCCATGTGGTCACAACCCGAATTATACAAATTATACAGTAGCAGACCTTGCGGAAACTATCTGCTGGTGCTGTTATCTGACAAGAAAAATGGGCACTGATGACTGTCTTTGCAAGAAAATGCTTAACTAACACTGACTTCCAAGCTATAACGTGTGTGAAGTGAAATGCTCTCCAAATATCAACCAAAAGAGATCTAACACAACTACTTCACTTATGTAACCATATTCCCAGTAAACTCACGGTGCAGCAGAAATACAGGGATATATGGCTAACCAACTTTATCACACCTGCAAGTCTTCTCATTCAGAAGAAGACTGTCTTCACTTGTCCTTTATAAACTCCCGCTAACTACATCTGAATGTCCCATGCCAGAAATCAGTAGGTTGTGCATGTAAGTACCTCTTGCATAAAGAACCTGCTGACTGGACACAGAACTGGTGATGACTCCAAACTCTTCTTCAAGCCACACTATTGGATGCTGAGAATAAAAGCAGCATTATTTACATTACAATATAACAGAAGAAAAAAACACACCAGTTATTCAGAAGACATGGAATGAGCTGCAGCAGATGACAAAAGATAAGGACAGCTTGACTAAGGGCCAATTCTCCAATGAAAGAAAAAAAAAGGTAGTTGGAGGAAAAAACATCCCCTAACAAAAACAACAAAACATCACAAACATAAAACCCGGAGAACAAGGATAACCGCCAAAAGTGCCATTATTGCATGTATTGACCGCCCGAAGGGGGTCCTTCAGTGTGAGGATTTAAGGCATGTTTAGTGCAAGCGCCATGGAAGGTACAGGTTAGATTTTATTTTTGACAGAAAAACCAGTATTCGAACCGAGGATTCAAACTTGGGTCTCCCGCATGACAGTCCAGCATTCTTATCTATTCAACCAGCAACAAGGACAACCAACCAAGACATTATAAAAACCTTAACAAGCATCATAATTATGATAAATATTAACCTGTGGGGGAAAAACAACACAAAACCAGACATAATTACAAACCAGTAACATTTTAACTAGGAAATAAGCTTTAATTACAACACTCAGTAACACCATGGCAAGGAGAAGTTGAAACATGACACAACATAACCACAATAAATATTAACCCACATTAACAAAACAAGACATCTCCCACATAACCACAATAAATATTAACCCACATTAACAAAACAAGACATCTCCCACATAACCACAATAAATATTAACCCACATTAACAAAACAAGACATCTCCCACATAACCACAATAAATATTAACCCACATTAACAAAACAAGACATCTCCCACATAACCACAATAAATATTAACCCACATTACCAAAACAAGACATCTCCCAATCATAAGAAGTAGTAATAGACTTTCAAATGTATAGTTGCTACAACACACTGCAATATGAGTACTTTAGGTTTATCAGTGCAGGGAAACAGAAGACTTTTTTAATATACATTTTATATTGCTATAGCTTACTTGAAATCCCAAGACATATTTGGCTGGGTAGCCTTCACATTACAGACAGGTATTTTCAAAAGCTCTAATCAGGTAGACGATGACTGATCAGAGCTTTTAAAAATACATGTATGTAAGGCAAAGACCTCCTACTTAGCAACAACAAACCCCCATAAAACTAAATCAGAGAAACTGAGCATTTGGTCATTTGGTTTGTTATCAGATCTATGGTTTGAACTCACTTCTGGTTCTATTTGCGGAGTCTATTATTTGCATGAGGCAGCGGCCAAATTCTTCAATGATCATCCTCTCTTGGACAACTGGTGGCATCTTCATTCTCTCTGCCTCTTCTGCCTGTGCCAGCAGGCATGCTGAAGTTGCTTCAGCAACATCTGAGTTTATCAAGGCAAAAGGAAGTCTGAAAGATTGGTAAAAGCATGTGAGTACTGAACAAATGAGCTTATCAAGGCAAAAGTATGTCTGAAGACACACTGATAATACACATATGGTGAGTACAGCAACTTATCTCAGCATTTTGTCATGCCTATGTTACAATACTAACTGTTCAGAATAAATTAAAAGTATAAGTCGTGTTAGTATTAAATTACAGGTCAAGAATATGGAAGGTTTAGCAAATGAACAAATTCCAGTCAGTGTAATTCTTCTTCTTCTTTCGTTTGCTTGACTATCTATATCTGCAATGTTGTCTCTAGTATGAACTTTGCTTGTCTTTTGGAATTCACTTAACAATCCATAAAGTTTGGCTTGCACCGGTGTTTCTCTTGGCCAAAAGTTTTGCCTTGATATGTTGTATCTGGGACAGTCTTGGAGGACATGATCTGTTATCACAGGTGCCAATCCACAAGTGCACATGGCTGATTCACCAATCTTAAATTGTTTGTACATGTGTAATGTAACTGTGTAATGTGAACACTGATATGAACTTGAGTTCAGTTATTAAATGCAATTAAAAACCGTGACTAGAAAGCTCAGTGGAAGAGAATAGAAAAGATAAATACAAATACAACAGAATGTTTTCAGTGACGTCTTTAACTGCAACTACCGTATTTAGTTGCATATGTTATGTTTAGCATATCAGCTCTACTGCATTCATTCCTATTGAAGTCATTCCTCTGTGCTACTTAAATGTATCACAAGCCACATGTTGTCATTTGGAATAAATACATTAATATATTAAATTAAATTTTATTACAGGCTGTACTATGGTGCTTCAAACTCATTTGTAATATACCCACCAATAACTGTGAATATTAATATAAAAGTCTACTAGAGTATGTGGTGTGCTGCCCATTTTTTCCTGCTGCTATGATCGTCAGTCACTTGATAGTAAGCTGTTTTAATGTCTCTTGATTAAACTCAATGATCAAATCTAAAAAAAAAAAAAATCAACTACAAACAATGAAACAACCCTAGGAAAAAAGAACAATAGCTAAAATTAAAAAAAACAAAGTGACACATAACAACTTTCAGAAATAAAGAGAATTTCCTCCAGACATCAAGATGATAGATTTGCAGCCCTACAACTGAACACAATGTATACAATTCAAATACAGTTAAACTGCATATTTCACAAACTATTTCAAACTGCTAATATATCATTAAAAATGTATGACTCATGGACAAACAGAAGATTACAGCATGTCAATGATATCACCACATACACAGATTCGTTATAAAACATAACGATCACGACAGTTAAATATGGTAGGGAAAGAAGTAACAGATCAATCTGAAAGGTTAAAATAACTTGAGAAATGAAGCAGAAAGGCCAAAAAAAAAATATACCATAAATTTGTTAACAGTAGTGACTTCCAAACAAGAAGTCAACGTATCTGAGCTGAGTTGATTCAAAAACCGACACAGCACTCGGGGCATTCTCAAAAGTGCTTCCTTCCCACCTGCAGCAACCAGTCCTGAGTTCCAATACCAATGGTACCAGTATCATTGTGATTATATGTTCATCTTGCCTTTCCCTCTAAGCATCAAGTATCAGCCAGGTCCCATTGACACTCCCAGTTACATTCTCCTACAAGGCCCTAACCACATCTGCCTTATCATGCATCAACATACCACCAAGTTGTGCAGAGCCAACCAGTTTGTCTGCCTGTTCATTTCCCAACATGCTGGCATTCCCCAGAGAAAAGATCCAGATATATATATATATATGTATATATATGTATATATATATATATATATATATATATTTATTTATATATATATATATATATATATATATATATATATATGTATGTATGTATGTGTGTGTGTGAGTGTGTGTATGTCTCTCTCTCTCTCCCATATTCTATAGCCAGCAGAAAGCTGCAGTGACCGCCTCCACCTCCATTCAAAGTAACTAATGCAGGCAAGAGAAATATAGAAGCAATTGTATGAGAAAGAGTGGGCTTTCTTAAAAGTTGACTGCGACATGAGTTCATGATAGCCATTTATGTAGTCACTAATCAATATATGGCTCTACTTGGCAATGACTGATCAATCGTACAATATAACACAGCTTACTGTTCATCATTATCATCATCAACTGCCTTACCAATAGGCATGGGCAATCAGGCCTCTCCACAATCTGTGATCTTTAACGTGTATCAGTTCATATGCTGACACCGCTTCATGGCATGACAAGAGGCTGTCAGAAACCTTCTCACAGTCTTCCTCTGTCTCTTTCAAAACAACAGCTTTTTTTAACTGTACGAGGAATTTTAAGAATCCTTGTAAAACCACATTTCTGAGGCCTCAAGAAATCGCTTGGCTTGTTTACTAATTGTCCAGAATTCACACCCATATATTAAAACTGGTAGTGTAAAGCATGCAAGAATAATCTTTCTCACCGTTCACCACTGGCTGTCGCTGCTGGTGGTCTTGATGGCACACATGATATCTGTGAGGACAGCTTGGTTTTTGCTGCCGTCTGTTGTTGAACACGGACTTCTGCAGCATCTGCCAGGTGCATTAATGTTTTGCGCTCTGCACTTTCTTCAAAGTTTTTGCAGCCAATGCATTTGCAGAAATTTGAGCACATTATTTTAGCCTGAGAAGAGACAACAATGTCTGGATAGAAAGTTTATCAAGTTTTCCGTTACTTTTCCATTTCTGTGTGTTTTACTAAACTCTCAGGAAGAGAAATGATTTTTTGCCGGTAAAGCATAGACATAATATGAAAATAAACACTAGTAGGAAAAAAGGAAGTCAAGCGTGTAGCAAGAGAACAAGAAACAATCAAGATAAAGATAAAGATGGACGTAAGTTTAAAACAAGTTAGAACCTTTATATAGTTAGGGAGCATATGTATTTATGACAGCATAATAGACACAGAGATTGAAACAATAATCCAAGCCAACAATGTCATGTTTCAACTGAAAAATAGACCAGGAGTGTGTTAACATAATGACTTGAAAAACAATAAGTCAAAGTAACTGAGCTGAGTTGATTCAAGAACCAACATCACAGGACTCATAAGCGCTCTGTCCCCACCTTCAGTGGCCAGCGCATAGTTCTAATACCAATCCTGCCAGTATCATTCTAATTAAATGTCTGTCTTGTGAGTGTCGAGTATCGGTCTAATCCAGTCACTCCACGCTGCATCAGTCTTACCAGACTGTGATGAGCCATTTGCTCCTTTGAATTGTACACGTTCTCCGACAAGGCCCAATTCTAAAACACCTAGCTAACCCAATAGAGATAAAAAGACAATTATAAATGCAATCTTCATACCAACTTTGTGCTATCAGTGTCAGACTTAGACACTGACTAAATAATATAAAAACAAGAAAACTAACCACCTGCCAAATGAGGTTTGAGAAAGGCCCTGAACAAAACTAGAAGTGGTGTGAGAAACATAGAAATTACAAGAACTATTGAAATAACGCATATAATTAAATTCATTGAAAAAACAAAGACTGAAATCGTTTGGTCATTTAATGAGAATGAATCCAATGATGCCAGCAAAGACAGCATACAACATGAAAGTAGAAACACCAAGAGGTAGGGGACGACCAAGAAGAATATGGATTAAAGAATCACTTGGAGGAGTCTTGAGACTGCACAACATCACAGCATACTGAGCAAACAAGCATGCTCTTGATTGTAAACCCATCATCTGTTAACCTGTGATGCCTAGCTGCACAAGGCAGAAAATGGACAAACAAAAGAAGAAGAAAGTATTTTTATTAGCAGCACTAATGTTGGTTTTCTATTTTCTAAGCACTTTCATTCTTGTTAATTGCTCAATTTCATTATACAATAATTTTTATTTATTTCTGTATTCTTCTGGCTGTCATGATTTACCATTTACTACAAACAGGCCATGCTGAAATTAGTCAACAGTTTGCATTTTCAATATTTCCCATTCCATCAATATTTTTGATGTTATCTACAAGTACTTACGTTGACATCAGCGTTTTTTCTGCTATATAAAAGAAATCTTAACATGTGTCCCCATAAAACAAAATGAACACTGTTCGTGGTATCACAGTTTATAACAGCTGAAACTTCTTTAGTTAAACAAGCATGCATAAAAATAAAGAAAAGAGGATTCTTTTCACACTTGTGGCGCACCAGGCATATGATGTCAGACTCATGTTTTTGTAGACCAGTCAGCATTCATTGGCTGATGTGGTTAGCATCGTGTTGGGCCTGTCACACATTTTATTTTTAGACTAGGTCAAACTGGCAGCCAATGTCAATTTTGAAGAAAAATCTTTGATTCAAACCCCAGCCAAGCAGTTCTCAACCTATAAGTCATGACCCTTTTGTATGTCAAACGACCTTTTCACAGAGGTCGCCTAGGCAAGAAAAATAATGTTTATGGTTGGGGGTCACCACAACATGAGGAAGTGTATTAAAGGGTGGCAGCATTAAGAAGATGCAGAACCACTGCCCTAGACTTTCGGGCCGGTAGCTGAGCATCTAGCCACTATGCTGTGGTAGGTCCCGGTCAATCAAGTACTCTCAGTAAACTTTGTCAAATTTCTGTTTCCCCAAGCATAAAACATTATATGTGCTTTACAGCTACTATACAATAACAACAAAATCATGTACTTTTAACTGCAGCATAATCATCACACTCAGATGCACCATGTGATTTTGTTTTCAAAACAGAGCAAGTCACATCAACCGTCTCTACTTCTTGAAACATGTCCTTGTACCTATTATAGGCTCCAATTATACAGATGAAATAAGAACAGGTCTGAGATTTCTTTTGTCACCTCTACAATTTTTTACTGGCAACAGACTGTATTATTAAGATAATAACAGCTGCCACCTGGAATGGAATTCGGTGAACCCCTACGAAACAGCTTGTGACATGGACTTCTACGGTGAACCCCTACGAAACAGCTTGTAACATGTACTTCAACGGTGAACCCCTATGAAACAGCTTGTGACATGGACTTCTAAGATTTGAGACAGAACAGAAACAATGAATCAGGCTAGAAAGGATGCAGAATCCCAACCTTCACCTGACAACCACACCAAATGGAAAAAGGCTGTAGCAGTGTTACAGAGAACTAAACTTGAAGAAAAACGGAAAAGCTGGAGAAATAAAACTGCAGCTCTACACCTTGATAAAGATGGCAAGAAACTCTGGAGATTAGCCAAATCACTCAATGAAGAGAGTTTCTTTCCTAGACAAACAATCCCACTAAGTGATAGTGACAAAATCTTCAGAGGAAAACAAGCTGCAGATTTGTTTGCCAGAACATATAGTGTTGAAAGCAACCTAACCCTTAATGAGGACCATCAGAGAGAAATAAGGAAAGAAATACAAACAAATCAGAGACAGACAAATACTCCTGCCTCTATGAGGAAGCCATTTACCATGGGTGAACTACAAAATGCCATCTCCAGGCTTAAGTTAAAAAAGGTCTGCAGGTCCAGATGAAATCAGCAACGAAATGCTGACCAACCTGAGCTCATCTGCTAAAGTAAAGCTGCTGGAGATTTTCATCATCAGCTCGGAGAAAGGTTTGGTGCCTCAAGTATGGAGAGAAGCCATCACAATACCCATTAAAAAAAAAGAAAAATTAAGACCCAGGCTTCCAGCTATCACCCAATTAGTCTCACAAGCTGTGTAGGAAAGACATTGGAAAGAATTGTAAATTCAAGACTGAAATGGCACTTAGAATCTGAGCAGATCTTGGTGACAAAGCAGGCTGCATTTAGGGAATGTCACAGCATAGAAGACCAAGTCGCCTACCTGTCACAAGCTGTAGAGGATGCCTTCCAAAAGAAGAAAAAGGTCCTGGGTTGACTTCAAACAAGCTTTTCACAAAGTCTGGAAAGATGGTCTCATTGCAAAACTGAAGAGAAATGGAATCCAAGGAAACATGCTAAAATGGATCCAATCCTTTTTACACAGCAGAACTAGAGTCAGTCTTGATGGCCAGCAGAGCAGAAAAGTGTTACTTCGGCAAGGAGTACCACAGGGAGGAGTTATCTCTCCAACTCTCTTTCTCGTTTATATAAATGATCTGGTGAAAGACCTCACTAGAAGTAAAAGCTGCCCCGTATGCAGATGATCTGGCACTCTGGTGTACTTATGAACACACCACAGTGGCAAATATAAGAATGCAGCGAGCAGCAGATCTCTTGATGACACGGGCAGAAAAATGGCATGTTGCCATCAACACAGACAAAACATCCACAACACCTTTCTCTCTTTCCCCCAGGGACAAAGCTGCTAGTATTCACCTTGGAACATCATTGCTAAATGAAGAAAGCTTCCCACTTATCTTGGAGTAACATTTGATAAAAGGCTCACATGGAGCAAACATATAGAAAATGTAGAAGGGAAGGCCAGGAGACGACTAGGCCTACTTAGAAAACTGGCAGGTTCAGGATGGGGAGCGAATGGAAAAACCCTAAAGAAAGTATATAATGGAGCGATAAGACCCCACTTGGAGTTTGGTGCAACAGCATGGTCAACAGCTGCTAATTCCCATCTACAATCGTTAGAGTGCAAAATCAAGCCCTTAGACTCATCACAGGATCCATGAAAACTGCACCAATCCTGGAGATGCAGAAAATAACTGCAATGCAGACATTGTTCTGTAGAAGAGACACTAAAACTATGATCCAGATGGAGAAGTTTAATAGTATGCAGTCACACCCAATGAATGGAAGGTTAGATGATCTGGCATTAGGCGTCTCAAACGTAGCAGCTTTGTCCATCGGGGAAAAAGACTTAGAAGACCGTATCAAGCTGATCTACCTATTAGAACAACACCGCTGAAACCTACCCTATACCCTGTACCTTGGGAGCAAGTCAGTGATACAATACAGATAATGACTTCAGTCAATGGATTCACAACTGGAGATGAGTCCAATGATCTTCAAAAACGAACATCTGCTCTTAGCATGATTCATGAAAACTATCCCGAACAGTCATGAATACATGTTTACACAGATGGACCAGCAACCAGTTCGGTTAAAAATGGGAGTGCTGGAGTCTTTTTAACACACCCAGGCAACTACCGCCACACAAAGTGGATACCCACTGGTAAATTTTGTTCCAACTACACAGCAGAGATCGTAGCACTAGAGCAGGCTGCCGAAATGTTACACAACACCAATTCTGACTGCCACCAAGTGGTTATATTCACAGATGCGCTTTCAGTGCTTCAAGCCCTCAAGAGTGGCAAACTCCCTCACTTGAGATCTGAACTTGGCAAGGTGGCTGCCCAAAAGTGTACTGTACTCCAGTGGGTGCCATCCCACTGTGGTATACCAGGAAATGAAACCGCAGATAAACTTGCTAAGAGAGGGGGGCGGAATGTGACCAGGAAGAGAATGCAGTAACATACTATGAGAAGAAAAGGGCCATCCAGGCTATAAGAAGTGAACAGAGTCTGGCCAGAGATGACTACCACTTACTTGACCGGCATGGTCAGGTCATTGTCCTACGTCTCAGACCGGACATAACAAACTTAACCAGCATATGCACAGGCTTCGTCTAAGAAGTTCACCTGTGTGCCCTTGTGGGCTATGTGTGCAGACTACAGAACATGTCCTGCAAGACTGTCCCTTGTTCATCCCATTAAGAAGAGAATACTGGCCAGAGAGTCACCACTGCACACAAAGTTGTATGGGACTAAAAAGGAACACATAAAAACAGCCAGGTTTATCACAAGAACCTGTCTGTCGGTGTAAATCAGAAAGCGAACACAAGAAAAAAAAGAAGACAGAACTAAACTAATTCCAGTGAATCAGGAGGCTGAGAAGAAATGCTGGTACTGGAAAGGACACAAGCTAAGAAAACCTGAGAATGTAACTAGAACATCCTTGTATTGGAAACCACAGGGGCACAGAAATAAAGACAAACCAAAAAAGACAGACAGAACAGAGTTAAAAAAGGACATGAGGTGAGCTACAGGCAATAGCAAAGAATAAGACAACTTGGTGTGAGCTGGGTGAGGACCCATCCTTCATAGGAGACAAAGAGCAGAATATCTAGTCACTTAGGCTGAATGTGTAAGGAAGCTGACTGTGATAACATAATCAAGTTAGGTTAAAGGCAACAATAAAGCTTGTTTAACGTGAACTAACACACTGTGACTAGCGGGAAACAATAAATTCCATGCTTACAGTTTACTGGGAACAATAAGACACATACTGAGTAACAGCAGATAAATATTTTCAAAAACCAAAAAATTATGTTTATCATTTTATTTTTGGATTTTCTGGTTGTGGTGCATAAATCTCCAACCACCTCCAAACCACAATATTGTCAAGTTGTCCAAAAACAAGAAAATGGCAACCGTGATCCCTGGGTTTTTCTTGTTAACAATGTCAACCATAAGCCTTGGGTGATCCAATGAATTGTCTGAAGAGAATATTAACAGTTGACTTATTGTGTGGAATCTGTTTTAAGTGTGTGGAAAAGGCTGAAAATCAGTAAGCAATTTAATACTGTCAAAAATGGTCACAGCTGAATAAATAAAACAAAGGTTTATTCACAACATGAATTACACTAGGTACTTACTTCATAACATTCACAATAATTCTTCAAGCAGCCAGACCGTTTACAATTGCAGCCTTTGTTGTGCCGCCTGTTTCCCTCTACATCCTTAGATTTGCCTGTGAGGTAATTTAGTTCTATCAACTCACAAACTAATATTATACTTCATAATACATTCAGCATTCTGAACAATGGTAATGAATGAAAGAAATATCTGTTCATTTTCCGATGAAGTGACTATCTGAAAGCACCTTTCCAGAATTCATTGGTTTTCTAGGCTAACTTGCTAAATTTAAATATACTAATTTTTTTTTAAAAAGTCTAGTTATCCAATGGCACCTTTTATTAGCTAAGTGGAAAGCCTGTATGCCCAAAAATTGCTGGTGAACAGATTCAAAAGAACTGTTAACTGAATGGTTGAACCCTAAAGTTTTTTTTGTGTTTAAACAATTTCACTAATTAATTTACAAAGACTAAATGTCAAAATTTTACAGTATCTATACAGTTTTTCTAAAGTTGTAAAGCAACATCGGAAAACTATGCATTTATTATTTTGTTTTTTAACAGTCATCTGAATGATGTTTTAATATGCCTCTGTAACAATGGAGATTTTTTTTTTAAGCAAGCTTACCTATTTTTGGATGAAATGCTTGTGGGTTTCTATCAAGACAAGATTTGATAGCTTTAGATCTTTCTTCTTCATGTTCCAAGTTATTAGCACAGCTGGTACAATTACAGTTTTGACAGAATTCACCATTTGCAAAACAGTCACAATATCTGAAATGATGAATCAGTCTTTAACAAAACAGTCACAATATCTGGAACAGTGAATCACAGTCTTTAATAAAACAGTCACAATATCTGGAACAGTGAATCACAGTCTTTAATAAAACAGTCACAATATCTGGAACAGTGAATCACAGTCTTTAACAAAACAGTCACAATATCTGGAACAGTGAATCACAGTCTTTAATAAAACAGTCACAATATCTGGAACAGTGAATCACAGTCTTTAATAAAACAGTCACAATATCTTGAACAGTGAATCACAGTCTTTAATAAAACAGTCACAATATCTGGAACAGTGAATCACAGTCTTTAATAAAACAGTCACAATATCTGGAACAGTGAATCACAGTCTTTAATAAAACAGTCACAATATCTGGAACAGTGAATCACAGTCTTTAATAAAACAGTCACAATATCTGGAACAGTGAATCACAGTCTTTAATAAAACAGTCACAATATCTGGAAGAGTGAATCACAGTCTTTAATAAAACAGTCACAATATCTGGAACAGTGAATCACAGTCTTTAATAAAACAGTCACAATATCTGGAACAGTGAATCACAGTCTTTAACAAAACAGTCATTAAATACCTTTAGAACTACCTCCTCTCCATAGTGGACCCAAGAAGTAGAACAGGCACAGAAAGCAAAGCGAGCAGCAGTTAAGCAATTACAGAAAGTGCGGAAGACACCTCACAGGACACAAGAGGATGAAGAGAAGCTAGAAAGGGACAGAAAAGAAAAGTAGAAGAGCTCAAGTGGTTTGCAGCAGATGCAAAAAAGGCTAAATGGGAACATTTTTTGAGTGAAACTGGAGGGGATAAATCACTGGGTAGGTTTTGGAAACTTCACAGACAGATGGAAAGTAAGGATCGGCCTGTCACAACAGGCATTATACATACTGATAATGATAAGACAATGACAACATTGAGAAATCGAAAGCTTTTTTTTAAGAGATTTATATAGGGCCAGACAGTCAGGTATGCCCATATGAAGAGCATGACTAATGAAGACTTTAGAGAGATGGCTTTTTATTTCAACCAGAGCATCAGAACAGCTTCAGCACCCCAGGATAGGGTACACAGCTACTTAATTCCACTTCCAAAACCAGGCAAAGATCATTCCAGACTCAGCGGCTTCAGGATTATCACCCTACAAAATACTTTTGGCAAGGTGCTTGAGAAGATTTTTGCTGTTAAACTACGTTTTTGGAAAAGGAAGAGCTGCTGCTAAGAGTCAGGAGACAGTTGTGGCAGCACTTGATCTTGAGGATGCCTACAATAGAGTCAGATATGATATTCTGCTATTTGCACTCACGGAGAAGGGTGTTTGTCCCTGGCTTGTGTACTGGATAGCAGCTGTCCTGCTTTCACATATGGTAGCCCTTCGCCTGGGTACATGGACCTCAGAACCATCTAATATCGCCCCAGGACTACCCCAGGGTTCAACAATTACACCAGTGCTCTTCAATGTGTATAGGAGCAAGATTGTAGAACTTGAAGCTTCAGGTGTTGGAAGAATATTGACATTTGCTGATGATTTTCTTGCATACAGGCAGGGGAGTAACAGGCAACGAATAGTCCAAGAGCTACAGGCAGCTGTAGATGAAGTGACTGACTGGTGTGCAGAAATGGGTGCTGTTATAAATTTAGAAAAGGCAGCTGTTTTGTGGTGTTCTCTGGACAATAGAATTGTAAAAGCTGACGTTTCAAGCCTCACAATTAATAACAGTAACATCAGAAGAGAAAACTGAGGTACTGGGCATCATTTTTTATAGAAGCCTGTCCTTCGGGGATCATGTGGAGGCAGTTGCAGTAAATTGCCAAAAAGGACTCAATGCTCTCAAGATTGTGGCAGCAATGAACACGGAACAAAGAATGATGATCACAATGTTCCAGCATGTGATCCTGTCTGTGACAGATAAGGGACTTGGAATCCTTACCATATTAAAGAGTCAGCTGATAAAATTTGAATGCATACAGAATGAAGCCATGCCAGTCATTTTGGGATGTACAAGAGATACCCCGGTATTATCTATGCGATATATACTTGCACTGCCTACTATTGCAGACAGGCTCAATGTTCTGCAAGCAAAGTCATATCTCAGAGCAGCTGCTGACAAGAAGCACCTCCTGCCTGAAGCCCCAGGCAGAGCTAAGGGTCACAGACTGAAAAGCAGAAGGTCTTGGATGGCGCAAGCTGAAGACATAATCAGACTTTTGTGCAGGCTCACTAAATCTGTGCGAGGAGAGGAGTGGGTCAAAGTGTTTGAGCAAGTTTAAGACTTTTGTAGGGTTCTTATCCCTTCGAGTCGTAAGTGCAGGAACTGGCCAGCTGGTGCTGCAGAATCCATGCTTACAACCAATGATTCATGATAATTCCCGCCCAAGTGATGTGATTATCTATACAGATTGCTCTGTGATGAGGGGAAGTCGATGTGCATGGGGGTTCACAGCAAAAGCCAATGGTGCAACAGAGCCTGGGATATGATATCACAACGTCTAGTTTGAGAATGGAGGTGCAGGCAGTCACTGCTGCCCTCCGCTGGCTTGAGAATCATCTGTACACACATGCCGTGATTGTAACTGACTCACAGAGCATGTTGAGAAAGGTGGAGACAGCTATGCTCGGTGCAGAGTGGCAAGCATCACTTCAGAGGTCTCATGAAGTTAGCATCCTTTAGATTTTTCTTCAGGTCATGCCTGTGTGTCGGGAAATGAGCAGGCAGATAGACTGGCAAGTTCTGCACCACTTGGTGGTGAACTGATGTATGACAAGCTAGATGTTGTGAGCGCCCTCTGGGAGCGAGTGAACAGTGAGGCAAGCGCAAATAGATCATTACCGTCTGAGGAGAATGGCGCTGTGAGGAGTTGCCAAGAGATCTGTTGATGCTCAACACTCAAGTGAAAGGCAAGACAGATATACAATCATCAGCTATTGATGCCATCGAAATTGGAACTCTCTGTTTGTTGCTGCTGATGGGGACGGAGCGCTTATGGAAGTGTCCCAAGTGCTATGATCTTCTTCTTCTTCTTCACTTCCTCTTTTATCGCTGTGGGTGTCGAGGGAGATACAAGGTTCTGTCTCTAGCTCTTCTGGCCGCCTCGACCATAGGCACATCGTGCTGTTGTAGAGTTTCTCTGATGTTATCCTTCCATGTTGTTCTTGGTCTACCTCATGCTCTACGTCCTTCTTCTCTTTCCATGTATGCTTTGTATGGTATAGTGTCACAAGGCATTCTCTCTAAGTGGGCAAACCATTTAACTTGCTGTCTTCGTATGTAATCCAGAATTGGTTCTGTGCCGACTTTTTCTCTTATGATCTCATTCCTGATCTTATCTCTTATGGTCACTCCTACAGCCCTTCTCAGCTCCATGGTTACTAATTTTCTTTTACAGTTTGTTGTGAGTGACCATGTCTGGCACTGGTAGCACAGAGTTGGAATAAATATGCTTTGTGCTGATTGGAATTGTCTTATGCTGTAAGAGGGGGGCTAGCTGTCCCAATACTTCGTTTGCTTTACTGCATCTAATGTTAATTTCTTTATCCAATTTCCCATCTTCGGTAAATGTAGTTCCCAGATATTTAAACTCAGATGCCTGTTTAATGCCTTTGCACTCTATTGCTATGTTTAGATCTGTCTTCTTTTTTCCTGTTGACATTACTTCTGTCTTTTCAGTGTTGATTCTCATATTATTTGTTTTTACATTCTTCATTAATGGATGTTAGATGTTGTTGCAATTTCATGGCTGTATCTGCTATCAAGGCCTGGTCATCCGCAAAGAGTAATTCGTTGATCTTACTGACATTTTCATTCATGGGCTTGGCATTCTTGCATATTCTGTCGATGTAGGTGATAAACAGCAGTGGTGATAAGACACACCCCTGTCTTACTCCAGATGTTACTGTGAATGGATGAGATGTTCCCTGATTTATTCTAACTACACTTCTACAATCCCTGTATAAACTTTTGCACACTTCGATGAGGTGTTCGATTACTCCATATCTTGCCATTATTTTCCATAATAATTGTCTGTCGACTCTGTCAAATGCCTTCTCCTGGTCTACGAATGCCACAAATAAGTTCTTATTGTATTCAATGTTCTTTTCTATTAACTGTTTAAGTGTGAAGATTGCATCTGTGCAGCTTCTATTTCTCCTAAATCCCATCTGTTCTTCTGCCAGCTGTGGTTCAATCACTGGTCTCAGTCTTGTTTCTATTATCTTGGCACACATTTTGCCAACATGGCTTAAAAGAGAGATGCCTCGGTTTTGACCGCATTCTCGTTTGCTTCCTTTGTTCTTCCACAATAGTATAACTATTGCATGTTGCCAATCAATAGGGACAGTTTGTTGTACCCATGCTGCATTAAATATTCTGTGAAGCCATCTGATGCTGCTTTCACCTGCTGTTTGAATTATTTCTGTTGGTAATCTATCAGCTTCTGGTGCTTTATATTTGGGAGATTGCTTAATGACTTTTTCTATTTCATCCATTAGTATGTGTGGTTCTAACACTGTTGCTCTGTGCTCTTCAGTTGTTCTTTCCTGATGATCTCCTAGAGGATTAAAGAGCTCATTGAAGTATTCCCTCAATCTTTCTGCTATCTCGGGTGGATCTATCAATGGCCTTCCTGTCTTATCATTAATTATTTCAGTGGGGTTGTAGCTCTCATCTCTTTTCCCCATATTTTTAACTACTTTGAAAAAGTTTCTGCTGGCTGTTTTCTCATTTTCTGCTAATGACTCACCAAAACGTTCCCAGGATGCTTGTTTTGCTTTCAGTTTTGCTTTAAGAAAATACAATGAGTGCTATGATGACGATTCTTAATTCAACATTCAATAACAATACCTGTAACAGTATATCACAGTCTTTAACAAAACAGTCACAATATCTGGAACAGTAAACCCCAGTCATTAACAAAACAGACAAAATATCTGGAACAGTAAATCCCAGTCATTAACAAAACAGACACAATGTATGGAACAGTAAATCACAGTCATTAACAAAACAGACAATATCTGAAACAATAAATCCGTCATTAACAATACAGTCACAATATCTGGAACAGTAAATCCGTCATTAACAAAACAGTCACAATATCTGGAACAGTAAATCCCAGTCATTAACAAAACAGTCAATATCTGGAACAATAAATCCATCATTAACAATACAGTCACAATATCTGGAACAGTAAATCCGTCATTAACAAAACAGTCACAATATCTGGAACAGTAAATCCCAGTCATTAACAAAACAGACAATATCTGGAACAATAAATCCGTCATTAACAATACAGTCACAATATCTGGAACAATAAATCCGTCATTAACAATACAGTCACAATATCTGGAACAGTAAATCCCAGTCATTAACAAAACAGTCACAATATCTGGAACAGTAAACCCCAGTCATTAACAAAACAGACAAAATATCTGGAACAGAAAACCCCAGTCATTAACAAAACAGTCGCAATATCTGGAACAGTAAACCCCAGTCATTAACAAAACAGACAAAATATCTGGAACAGTAAACCCCAGTCATTAACAAAACAGACACAATGTCTGGAACAGTAAACCCCAGTCATTAACAAAACAGACACAATATCTAGAACAGTGAATCAGTCTTTAACAAAACTGTCACTTATCCTCTCTGTAATATCTGTTGATGAGTGACAGAAACAATAATGTACAAAACTTACACTTGACATTTCTCCTCTGTAATGTTTGTTCAATTCCTAGTCTGCTACATGTAGAGTTAAAGTACTTATCTGAAGCATGATAACAAATTTGAATATCTAGAAAGTATGTCTTCAGAGGACAACAGAATAAATATGGAATTCAAAACAAGATATCAAAAGGCCAGTGCACCAACTGACAATTGTCACCAACACATTCAAACATTAGTATGACAATGAAGAAATGGATTGTAAACAACATAGTCTAACACTGTGCTACCACTGCCAAACTTGGACATTATCAAAAGCTCAACTACACACAATTAACACCTGTGAAAGTTACCTGCCTGAGGAAAGCTGACAATTGAATCACCCAAGACCAGGTATGAAATAATACTATCAGACAGACTGACCACTGCCAGTCAGTCTGGAGTCATTTCAAGTTCCAGAAAGAATTGCCACTCCCAAACCAAAGAAACAGTTGTCAGAAACAATAAAGCATTACTTACAGCTTCAAGCATTGAGATTTGGTACAATTGCATGGTTTTCTTGGCCGGGCACCTGTTGCTTCTAATGTAGGCCTGAAATTCAAACAAATATAATGTAATTAACTTTTAACGAACATGAGCTTTTGACTCAGTGTCTCCTCAGTTATAGCAGTAGTTCAGCAATAACAGTAGCTGTGAAATACCCTTGATGCTTTAAGCCTACTGGGCTTCCCTGGCTTTGAAAAAAAAAAGATTTTCCTCTTAAGTAAACTGGCCACATATTACATAAGACTGAAAAAAATCTATTTTAATACATAACCTATATATATATTCGCATGCATTATGTTTGCCCACTTGAACAAAGTGTATGCTGATACGACTACCATCAACTACCATCAAAGTAAACTCAATGACTGTTTTCTGTGATTTAAGGCATCCTGGGTATGTGGTGCTAGCTCCTATATTTTTTATAGACCAACCGGTATTCCACGAGCCAAAAACATTCAATCAGTACTGCTGTAGGGAGCAGAAACATGAAGAACTAAAACAATTACTAAATAACTAAAACCTACATTAACTGGTGCTTTCACAGAATAGAGGAATGAAAGTATAATAAAATCACTAATGTACAGCTTTGGGAGAAACAAATTCCAGTCAATGAGGTAAAGACAATGGTGTTGGATAGGATATTTAATGAGAAAACCTGACAACAGTATAACTAAAAGGGTTTAAACTGGAACCCACAAGTACTGAAATAAAGAAACCAAAATAAAGGTAGACCAAAAAACACACAGAGAAGGGAACTAGAGTGTGAAGTTAAAAAGATAAAGGCATATGCTGAGCTGCATGCAACAGCAAAGGACGGGACGACATGGCGTGAGCTGGTTGAGAGCCTATGTTCCACTGAAAGAAGAACTGGCAATCAATGAGTTATGTGGTCACTATCTTGCCTACCACCGCTACTTTCCACAAGTAATGCCAGATTCACCAAGAAAGCACTGTAACATTGCTAGTATATCATAGGGAGTGACTAAAAGAAGGTAGTGTGAGAATGGTGACCTCATCACTATTTTAAAAAAAAACTGCATCTAAAAAGTCCAACAACTTATAAACAAGCCTACTTAACCCTTTCATCCCAGTGACCTAGAAAAAGCAATGTCAAATACCCGTAGTTTTGGAATATAATGTCTTCCTGAAAAAAAAAAAGGAAAAAAAAACTATTCCAGTTAATAAATTTAAAAAAAAAAAAAAAATCACAAGCCACACAAATAAATCAAAACAATTCCATTTATGGACCAAACCAAAATTTAACTGCATACAAAAATAACACAAAAACACAAATGCAGCAGAGAACTGACTGCGACATTTCACTGAGCTTTAACAAATGTTTTGCATGATTCGTTCTTGACCTCATGACGCGGCCACCTGTGGTCTACTGAGAGATGAAATGCAGTTGTTACATGCCAGTACTCTTAAAACAGGTTAGGCCCTTACACTCCTGAGCTCTCAATTATTAATTAGAAAATATGTCCAGCAGAAGTTCAATGAACGCTTATCTAGCATTGTCAGAAAATAAAAATATAACCAGAAAATATTACCCATTGCTGTTTGGAACATTTCGAGAAACTGTGTACTGGGTGACTGCGGGATCTATACTGGCTATTGGTATGTAGTCCCTGGTTTGTCGTTGTGCCGACTGTGATGATGTTTCTTGTGCTGACTGTGGCTTGTTGAGCTGCTGAAGCTGCACCAAGTGATGGATGAAAGCATTAAATGCGTAACAATGAAGTCAGTACCATACATGCTAATCTCAGTGCCAACTTACTTACTTGTACACATTTCTGTCTGGTGCCAAATAAAACAGTCATCAAACGCTGTTCATGCTACTTCATATACTATGCAAGGTTTTTTTTTATCATGTCGGGATTTCTCTGTAATAACATTTCATTATTTCATAATTTTCTATGATTTCAGTAGATAAATATTCAGGGCTTAGTTTCTTTTTTTTTTTCAATTTACTATTTCCCCCTTTTTTTTATGAAGACAAAAGACCATCCAGTATTTTTCTGTGTGACTTAAATATTGGCCTTTCTTTTGAGATATGGACATGAGATATCTTTGCCATGTTATATTAGTACAAAAGTTCTTTACTGAAATGTAAATTTTATAAGCAGTTTCAAACTTCCTAAATTATCCGGTATCTGTGTTGCATATGTTTACAATTTAGCAATGGCATTCGTGCCTTTTAGCAATCACATCTGATATCTGTCTGGCCTTGGTTAATCAGAACAGGCATCTCACACAGCTTTGTAAGCAATTACCCTGTCGTAGTGTAGTGAGGTTACCTGCACTGCTTTCATCTTAGAAAGTACACCATAAGCCTATCAACTGGTCTTGGTTCTTCTTCTTCTTTCTTTCTTTTACTGTCTCACTGATACCAGGTTGTAGCAGTGTCATGGTTTCCTGTATTTGTCTTTTGCTTCTTGGGTGATGGATTTTGAAACTGTTGGAATGTTTCAGCTGCACCATTTATCCATCTCTTTCTTGGTCTTCCCTTTCCTTACCTTCTTCCCAGATGTTCAGCTGTTACCACACACAAAAATTACATGCAATGTGGTCTGGCTGCATACTTAATAGATGGCCCAGCCAGTTCATTTTTTGTCTGTCAATTTAATTCATACACAGTCTAACTTTCTATCTCATACTGGTATGTGTAACCATGTCCCTTCATGTCTTGTTAGTGACCTTACGAAGACAGCGCATTTCACAGGTAGTTATTTTCTCTTCTAGTGCCATTGTCCGTGTTTAGCACTGATGGCATAAAGTAGGGATGAAGATGCTTTTATTCATTTACTGTTCTGCTGGAAGGGAGACTTTTGGATGTCTGTAAATATGCTTCTTAAACATCTGAATTCTCAAACTTGTGTGACTGTAGTATCATTTATATGAACGTTCATGTTATTATGGTTCCTGCCTAAACTCACGATCTCACTTTTGGCTTTATTTATTTTCATATCATACTTTGATATACAGATTTGATATACTGAGTCTCTTACTGTGCACTGACTATCTTGATCAAGAGAAATGATGCTACCCAACAGTTGATCTTGAGTACCATAATCTCTAGAATTGTCCTTGGTACTGAGGCAGTTCAGTCCCTTGACTGGCTAACTCTCCATTCACATCACAAAGTGTTACAGACCGCCAATGTGGAGGCAATACAGTAAACACTGACTTAGTCTCTGACAAAATCACATTGCTGTTGATGTCGCTAACATTTTCTCATTTCCAACAATTGTCTTGCTAGTACTGTATTATTCTGTCACTTTATTTTTTGTTTTGGTTTATGAAGACTAATTCTTAGGTAATAATGAATTATTTTCCTGAAAAAATGTAAAGAATCAACATTAAATTAAATTAAAACAGAAGAGAGGGGAATTATTTTGGAAGAGGGGGATTGGGGTTGGGGGGGGGGGGGGGGGGGGGGGGGGGGAGAGACTATATCACATACAGCAAATGCCAGATACTTGTTTCCCTACAAAGCCCTTAAAAAACAATTTCAAGCAGCTCTGCCCTACGTGTCTATCTGGCATCAAAAACACTTCAAGTCTACACATACCCTGCCTTGCATTTCTGGTGCAAACCTTGGACAAGCCACAAAAAGCAATCACTGCAGTTCATCAGGACTGACCAGATGTGTATGATCACACATGTTAGTGGTTATGCCACACAACAATAGTTAAAATTTACCCACTCACACAGTATTTTATATTTCCAGTCACATGGTCAAATTTCAAGATTTTTAGCACAGTTCTTATTTTTTTTAATTTTCAAAGTTGTTTGCAACCATAATATGCAGTCTCCTATTTTCGAGACTAGCTCCAGCACTGCAGAAAATTGTACCAACTAAAAATACAAAAGACCAGCACTGGAGAAAAACTCTGCCCCAAAACACACCTGAGTGCCCACCTCTTTACCAGACAGTTAGCACATGACAGTGGAGTGTTAAGTTTTTTAAGACATCAAGAAACCAGACAAACAGAACGCTCTGTGGTGTTAGGGTCAAGTATATAAGCGTTGGTATATACTTCTGCAATATCCATTCATCATTCGCTGACTAGCTGCGGCACTGTTCCAGACACGGGTGGTACTCAGGTGTGATTGTTGGTCCTGAGACCCACTAACCATTTGTCCCGGATTACCTCAAGGTTCTCCGCTGTCCCCAGTCCTCTTTAATGTGCGTATGTTGCGAATAACCGACTAGCAATTGAATGAGTGTGGCAGGACTCTGTCATTTGCTGATGAATTTTGGTCTATCGACGTGGAAGAAAGCGTCATGAGATTGCCAATGCAATACAGAGCGAACTTGACCGCATCTCCTCCTGGTGTGAGGACTCCAGTGCACATGTCAATCCTTCAAAAGCCGCAGTAACGTGGTTCTTCTTGAACGCACATATGTTTAAGGCAGACTTACCAGTGGTGGAAATTATTGGCGAAGCTTTGACGAGAACACACCCGATGACATATCTGGGTGTAAAGAACATGCTGACCATGTCATAACAAAAGCACCCAAAGGCCAGTCAGCCTTGCTGCCGCTAACACTGAGCAGAGACTGCTTCTGCTTCTGTTCCAGGGACTTGTTCTTCCTCATATCGAATATGCTCTTGCCATCCTCACTGTCAGCCATTCTTAAAGTGAAAGACTTGAGAAGGTGCAAAATGAAGCAATGGATATTATTCTGGGCTGCACTGGAGACACCTCTTGTGTAGCAATTGGTACCTTCTTGAAATCCTTACCATGAACTACAGGATCAAGATCTGGAGCGCATATGCATATCCCAAGATAAGCTCAGATTTGAAGCACCCTTTGCACCACATGCTTTTCAAGAAAAAGGGCAACAGACTTAAAGGGAGTAAATCATGGCTGGGTAGGGCAGAGGATGACATCATGCAGGTTTGCAGCCTTACAGACATCCATCCAGGTGAGATATGGATACCAGCATCTAAAGCGCTTAGTCTTACATTCTCCTGTGTCGTGACACTCGATAGGAGTTGTCGGGAGCAGAATCCAGCTACTGTCAATGATAAGGTATGCGCGCTTATCAGTGGCAAGTCAGATAAGACAGATGTGGTGATCTTCACAGACGGGTCCGTTAAACAATGACATAAGAGTGCATGGGCATTTACAGCTCGCTCTTCGGGCAGCAACAGTTCAAGAAGCCAGCGGTGCCTTCTACATGACCACCACCAGCATTACAATGGAAGTGATGGTGGTGACACAAGCTTTCTTGTGGCTAGAATCACAGAAATATTCCCCAGTGTGTGCTGAGTGACTCTTTGAGCATGAGCCGGCGGGCCGAAGGAGGCTGGTTACGCTAACAATGGTTTGAGTCCTTGCAAAACTCTCCTGTGTGTGCAGTTACCTTCATATTCGTCCCAGGGCATGCAGGCGTTGTTGGTAATGAAAGAGCCAATAGACTGGCAGTTGCTGCATTAATTGAAGATGGCCGACCCACGGATCACACAGACATTGTTATTGCCCTTAGAGAGATAGGACGTTCTGAGGATTTTGAAAGCAATGTGTCCACATCACTGCTAAAAATACGTGAATTGGGAGTAAAAATCGACATAGCCAAGCATGAGAAGCTCACTGGATGCACAGGAAGTCTTGCTAACCAACACAGGACTGGCACTATTAACCGCACAACGCTGATGATTATGTTGAGAGGGGAATCTGAGCGCCTGTGGATGTGTCCGGAGTGCTGTGAAGATATTCTAACTCATAACTCTGTGTATGAAGTTTGATTGCAGTCTGTCCTTCAAAGACCACGTCGACCATGTTATAATGTAAAGCCCATAAAGGCTTAACAACAATGAGGGTCCTAGCCACCACCAACATCGAGCAGAGACTGCTTCTGCTACTGTTCCAGGGACTGATTCTTTCTCCAATCGAATATACTTTAGCTATACTCACCATCAGCTACACTCAGACTGACAGACTGGAAAAGGTGCAAAATGAAGCCATGCGCATTATTTTGGGGTGCACAAGAGACACCTCTTCCGTAGCAATGAGATATATTCTTGACTTTCCGACAATGCACTCTAGAATTAAGATGTGGAGGACTCATGCATACCTAAAGATATGCTCGAATTTGAAGAACCCTCTACACAACGTTCTCTTTAGGAAAAAGGCCAACAGGCTAAAAAGGGGCAAATCATGGCTTGGTAGGGCAGATGATGATATCATACAGGTCTGCAGTCTTACAGACATCAACCTTGGCAAAGAATGGATACCTGTGCACCAGGTGCTCAACTGCACTTTTTCCTGTGTTGTCATGCTTGATAGGAGCTGACGGGAGCAGAATCCAGTTGCTCTCAATGCAGAGGTCCATGCACTTATATGTGAACATTCAGATGGGGTGAATGTACTGATCTACACAGATGGGTCCATGGTCCGAAGACAAAAAAAGTGCATGGGAATATACTACGTGCTCTGCAGGCAGAACAGTTTAGGAGGCCAGTGGTGCCTTCTGTATGACTACTAGCAGCATGACAATGGAGGTGATAGGGGTAACACGAGTTTTCCTGTGACTAGCATCACAGGGCTATTTTTACATGTGTGAGCGGAGTGATTCCATGAGCATGATCCAGCGGGTCAAGGTGGGCTTTGTATGCAGACAGTGGATCAAGTCACTGCAAAACTCCGCTGTGCCTGGAGTTACTTTCATCTTTGTTAAGTACCAAGGTATGCAGGAGTTGCTGGCCATGAAAGAGACAACAGATTAGCTGGCTCTGCCTTAGTTATATTAGAGAGGTCAGACGTTCAGAGAATTTTGGGAGCAACACTTCCACATCTTTCCTAAGAGTGCAAGAATTGGGAATAAAGATTGGTACAGCCAGGCAAGAGAAGCACACCGGACGCACGAGAAGTCTTGTCGACCAACATCGGTCAGGGACTATCAACCGTGGGACGCTGAGGTATATGTTAAAAAAGGAATCTGAGCAAATGTGAGAGCCAACTGTTATAATTCATGGGCTGGATAAGTGAATGCAGCAGCAGAACTGTTACTAACCAAACTCAACTGCACATCCAGTAATAGGATCCAGGGATACTCCGGTTGAGAGGTCAGGTTCACTTTCTCAGATGGATTATTTCTCCGACATAAAGTTCTTTGATTACCACAAACAAGGCACAAAGCTGCCTAACACTAACGAACTTTATTTTCAAAGGATCACAAATTGGGCAAGCAGGCCCGTTTACTAAATAGCAGAAGTCTTAGATGACAATATAGATGATTTGAGTATATGTTTTCTATCCGAAACCAGGCATAAAGCATGATTTTGAAGGGAACTTGGTCTTTTAATATTCGATTTGGCACAGCCATCCTAAACTGTGGAACAATATTTTTTGCATATCTTCCATCCACGAAGTGCTTAATTTTGGCAAGCTGATAAACTTGTTGTACAATTCTCTTAGTGACACAAACATGAGAATTCCAAGTAAAATGATTGTCAACTGTAAGGCCTAATATTTTGAGTTCAGTTATATTAACAAAGGTAATTGATCTATGTAAAGCACAAGTGGTGGCTTGTGCAATGCTAATGTTTTTAACTTCTGTCTAGTTGTTATAGCCACAGATTTGTTTTATTTATGTTAACTTGCATGTGATTGCTATTGCTCCATTTAATAAGATTATTTACCTCTTTCTGTAAAGAATTTCACAACTCATTAAAATTCTCATGGCTAGTATATATTATACAGTCGTCAGCAAACAGATCGTATGTTATACTGAGTTGTAATGGAAGGTCATTATTATATGTGACAAAAAAGTAGTGAACCCAGAATCAATCACTGGGGCACACCTTTATTTAATAGGGGATTCTGACAGTTATCGAAGGACACTACTTGCCATCTATCATTTAAAAATGACTGCATTAATTTGACCAAGTTATTGTTGGTTTTCAAGGTTTTCATTTGTTAATTAGAATATGATGATTTAGCATATCAAAGGCTCTCTTAAAGTCCACAAACAGTGCCCCACAAATGTTACCACTGTTTATATTAAAATGCCAGTTGTCAGTTATTTTTGTCAAGACAGTATAGCAAGAATGTTTAGGCCTGAGGCATGATTGACTATGGATTTTTAAGTTATGTTTAGATAAATGCTGCAATGTAATTTTTTGTATGTGTTTCTCCAACAGTTTTGATAGTGACGAGAGGAGAGAAATGGGTCTTTAATTACCTGGAAAGTTGACATCTGCTGAGCCAGGTTTAAGCAGAGGATACACTTTGGCAGCTTTAAATGCTGATGGAAAGTAGTTTTTAGTAAGACACTGATTGTATATAAACGTTGAGAATAGCTAATAACTGGTGCAGCACATCGAAGATTCGATTACTGACTCCATCCAAGCCAGATGAGTTTGTTTGCTTGAGGTTGGAGAGATATTTATACACTTCATCAACAGACATAAGGGAAATTACAGAAGGGATAGCTGTATGCCACATTTCTTCACAGGAATGATGCTAGTAAGAATAAGTCACACTGTGAGTCCGGTATTATGGACTTTAAATCCTGTGTTTCTGATTAAAAGAAAGAATTGAAATTATCACACGTTGGAGAATTCAATATTGTTTTGTCTGAAGGTTTCTTGTTGGTTAGAGTGTTAACAGTCTTCCAAACATCTGCACTATTTGTTTTGTCTGTAATTAATTTGTTAAAATGATATTTCTTGTTTTTACGAATTAAATATTATTTCTCAATTTACGGTCAAGTTAGAGATTTTTATTCTTGTGTGCCATATCTCATACTTTTTAGAACTTCGCTAGTGATCAAGGGCGACTTAGTTTGATGTTTCACTCTAATTTCTTTAACTGACACATATTTATCGAATACACTGTACACTGAGAGAATATGAAATATACACTACTATGCTTGTCTCCAATTTGTTTCAGCGCGTCTTTACAAATTACTGTAAAACCACTAATGGTGACTTGGTATAACATTTAATCTAGCTTGTTACTAACTTTGATTAGTCAACAAAAACAGCAGATTACAAGCAAAATAAGACTATTTTACACTGCACATGATGATGATGATGATACTGTAAAATGTTCTGTCTACTGATCCCACCAAATAGTCAATATTAGTTTTTTTTCTCTTCCCGAATGCAGGTAAAATAAAAAGACTTGATTAAACTGCACTTGATGACGATGATGCTGTAAAATGTTCTGTCTACTAATGCACTGGATAGTCAATTACAGTTATTCTATTTCCACCCGCTCCATCAAACTCAGTGTAGGCATCACTGCACACACAATACTGTATAATATCGTGGCTATTTACTTGGCCGTATCCCACATGGTTGTACATCAACATACACGTATCCGTCTATTTAAAGAAATAAGACCTTTATCTTAGAATCTGCAAAATGAAGAACAGACCATACATGGTTTCCATAATAACTGTGATTTGTCAGACTCTCATACCGAGAAAACTGCCATCTATACGACTGTAGACTTACGTCCCAGTACGGGACACAGTTTTGTGCTATTTTAAAGCCCCACCCTGGCCATCATTGGGAACCCTAATATAACCTAATGATGGACTTGTGTCCAGGTAATCCTCATCCGCTCTGTGTTCTGCCTAGACGATTCAACTCACACTCATAGCCATCCACTGGTTTTCAGTCCAGCATAAGCCCTGTCAGGCTTGCAACATTCAAATTTACCTCCAACTCTCTCTCTTTAACCATGAAATCGACATGCTCTCATCACGTGAAAAACCCTCACAAATCTGCTAATAACACATATATCAGCTGATGAACATATCAATGATTGAAACCAAAGGCAACAGCCTAAACACTGCTGCATTAATAGTAACAGAATTACAGAAAATCTAATCTGAACTACTTAACAAGCAGAATCCTACCTGAGTTACATAAGATGCAGGTACCAAAGCAAAGTTCTGAATGCCTTGAAGATGACTATTTGCTGCAGACAAAATGGTTGTTCCAGAAAGTAGCTGACTCACACTTGCTGCAGGTGCTGGCTGAATGGTGGCCAAGGTTGTTGTTGCACTGCCCTGTACACTGACTGAAGAGGTGGCAGGAAGAATAACCCGGTGCACACCTTGGGTGCTGTGGCTCACTGGTATCGCAGGTTTGGGAGCCTATCACATCACCACGAGAAATCACGTACAAGTGTATTATTTTTTCAGCAAATATAATTTTTTAATGGAAGTACAAAATGCACATTTAGTTATCATTCTTGATGTATATTATCAAACAATGTGGTAAGACAAGTAGTTATTGTATTTTTCCATTTATAATTCGATTACCCTCCCTCGCCCCCAAATTCTCAGGTTGAAAACTGGTGATCATCTTATACAAAGTATGTTGCAATTGAAAATTCAAATAAACACCTGCTGCTATCCAACTAGCCAGGCTAATGACAAACCCTGATCTGGTATTCTCCTTCACCAGCAGTTTCTACTGCAGACACTGTCCCTTTCACCACAGTTCATCCCTCAGACAGCCACACAGACAGCCACTCCCCCCCCCCCCCCCCCCCCCACCCCCCCCCCCCCCCCCCCTCCCTGGCTACCCAGACCCCCCCCCCCCCCCCCCCCCCCCATATCAAAGTTCAGTTTAGTGTTTAAAAATGTTTTTCCTAAAGTCTGGGTACCAAAAAAATAGGGGTCATCTTATACATGGAAATATATGGTATATATTTGAAGATGTAAAGCTCTTTTCACTTTTAAAGTTAAAGATAATATTACAGCAGACACAGCCATGAAGGGACCGGAAGTAAGATCATTTCAGATACAATAGCAATCGCCCAGCAGTGAAATGTTTCTACATGTATGATAGCTGCAGTCTTTGAATACATTACAGAAGCAATGTGCTGCATGGCATTTTTTTTTTAAAACAACCAGTATAAACCTTTGGATACCAAATTGATTCAGACACAAAGAGATGCAGACAAGTTAGATGTGATTTATAAAGTTACTTCAGGGGCTCAAAGTGATTTCCATTAGCAAACATGCATGTGCCATATTGTGTTGTTGACTGTGCCCTGTACATCATGCTATTTACAATATCTTGTCATAATCACCATACAACACACAGATACCGTAATTCGATCTAAATATGTCACGTAATGATGATGTTTTTAAACAAGTAGCCTCTCGAAAATGTTTATGCATTTTACTGGTGGATGATTACTAAGTATACATTGTGTCTGGCTACCTCTGTTTTGAGATCAGGTCATCAGCTCTACTGCTACTAATATTCCTTTCATTGAAAAAAATGCTGATACTCATTTGATGAGAGTTGGCTGACTTCAGCCATAGATAGACTTAAATGCCTCTGTGATGGAGGTTAATTGAAAAAATGGTCAGAAAATGTCCATCTGTGGGAGGAAAAACATACATGCAACTTATATATATCTCTCACAAGCAGGCTGCTATCATTTTCAATTTGGCCACATTATGAGAAAAAAACAAAATGAAACATGTTTTGACAAACAGAAAGATATGTGAAAAAAAACAGACAGGGAAAGATGGCAGATAAATAGAGTTACAAAAACTATGTAATCAAAAGAGATGTCTAGAAGTAGACAACAGGGCATACAATGACCAAGATAAATGAAAATAATAATAAAAAAACATTTGTTAACAAGTTTTGTCATGGCAGAGTGTCAGCACACAAACTGATTCATGAAGTCAAGATGTGAGCATGACCTTTGACAATGATTGGCAAGGCATCAGATGTGCTCTCTCCCCCCCCCCCCCCTCTCTCTCTCTCTGTGTGGGTGTGTGTGTGTGTGTGATTGAGTGAGAGAGAGAGAAAGAGAGAGACACACACAGAGAGACAGCGAGAGACACACAGAGAGAGACATGAGAGAGAGAGACAGAGAGAGACAGAGAGACACACACAGAGAGAGAGAGAGAGAGAGAGAGAGAGAGAGAGAGAGAGAGAGAGAGAGACAGACAGAGAGAGAGAGAGACACACACAGAGAGAGAATATACATGGCAAGAGAATATATTTTTGAGATGTAATGTGTAACAAAAATTGTAAGTTGCATAACAAGTACATACAAGAGTTGCATTCTGCTGCTGAAAGGGTAATGTTATCTTGACTTGATTTGTGCTGGTTGCTTTTGTAATTGTTATTGGTAATGCATTCTTCGGTGTTTGAACAATATGAGTGGTTTCTCCTGAATCAGATTTAGCTGCAAAGATTCAAACTGAATTTAATATATATATATTTTTTTTAAAGTAACAATAAATCAAAAAACATAAAAAGACTACAAAAATTATTTCATAATTATTTACACACAAAAAATTTCTATATACACACACACACAACCTTCAAAAAACACTAAAGGTTTTTAATTTAAAACAAAACAAAAACTGACTACTCAATCAAACATGCTTGCCTTTATAAAGAATAAAACTTCATAGAAAGAATGTAGTTACTCTCACTCTGCAGGAAATCTAACAGCTAACAACTAAATGTTATATTATCTACAACTGAAAAATGTGTGACATCACCCACCATACTGATTACTGATTTAAGAATCAACATCATAGCACACTGGGAATACCCACAGATGCTCTGTCTCCTGCAGCAAATGTCGTAAGGTGTAGATGCTAGCTGACCCCATAGCACACTGATTATACGCACATCGGTTTTTTCCTCTCTAACATCCCTCCTTGCTAGATCCAAACTTAATTCCTTATTCTCACATTCTTGCACATGTTATTTCATCTAATCTCGTGTCTTCTGTCAATATTCGTTCATATATGGTCTTCAGAATATCTGCCTTGTCCAGTATGAGCTACCTCTTTTGTAGCCAGAAAATCTGCTTTCATTACCTCAGTATGTTCATGTGATTCCCTGCAATGTTAGCGTACTAATGCTTGGTATCCACTCATGCCACATTAGTCCCTTTTGAACCTTCCGCAGTACCGACTGAGAATCTGACACAATAACTCCTCTGCTAACTTTGTTTTCTGCTATCCAAATCAGAGCTGCAGTTATTGCCTCCACCACCATACTCCTGCTTGATGATATAGATAAAAAAGCTTAATTTTGTTCTGCCACAATCTTTCTCTTCATCTAGCTTAAAATTCCCAGCCAGATCTAACAACCCAATGAACAGAACCATCGGTGTACACTACTGCATCATCAAACCCTGCATTTTTATCTATCAGTTGTGGTACTTCTAATTTTGTCATACAGTTACACTACTCTCTACATTCTCTTCCTATATAACAATGATGTGATGGAAGCTCTCTAGTGGGTGTTTGTGTCGTCCCATTCCTGCCCTGTGTATTTGCTTGACTAAGCTACCATCTTGATGGTATCTGTATCTCAGCTAGTGCCATCTATGACTTTCCTCTTTTTAACAGGTTTACTCTTGAATCTTTGAGATTACCATGCAGAGGATGCTTTTCATCATTGGTAACTCGTTTAATGGGCTTTGGCTTGTGCAAGTGACAGTCTAGACTTTACCAATGTCAGCCCAAGCATAGACCTCATTGTTCTAATTTGTGTATCTTGTGCGCAAACCAAGAAGATTCTCATTTCTTCATTTTGACACCTACCAGACTATGAGCATCAAGTCAAACAAATGTGAAGCCAGACAAGAACATTGTGTGGGAAGACAACAGTAAACAAATACAGAACTGGTGTTACCAGTCACTACAAACTAAGAGAAACAGTCAGGAGCAAAGTGGACTGAATGGTTTTATGTGCAGTGGGGACACTAACTGTGAGGTAATTTGTGTTCAGCGTGATGATTTCCAGTCAGGAAATGTTTCAAACACACTGATGATTTTTTTCCCATATCCAATATGTGTTCCAACATCCAGCATTAGCTTACAATGACATAAGTGGCAAATATCTAAATAGGATGTTGTGGTTGTGCAGGGTAATTTAGAGTTTAACATGTCTTTTCTAAGGGGGATGGGCCAGGGTGAGAATTTGAGAATCTGTGATATTCTTTTCCTCAAGCTCTCCTACCCAAGTGTCCATGCTTGTATCTCATTTAAAGCATTAGGCAAACAAAAAACATCAATGGGATTAGCTGTATAATTTCAATGTGTAAAGGGACTCATCACACAAAAATTCATTCTAAGAACAGACATTTACTTGCACTGCAGAGCTAGCTCTTGGTGTGGATTGACTATAAATGACGAACTATGTACCAAATAGTAGTTTTGTCCACAGAAGGATAGACAGGTGACAATGTAATGATCACATTGAGGACAAATGCCTTTTTTGAATGACACCAAGTTAAACGTACAGTATTTGCAATATAGCATACCCCTAGATCCTTGAAAATATGATATAAGAGCCTTTATTATAAACATGTCAACAACACATTGAATGCATTACTACAGCTCTCTGCTGACATTTGCAACTGTAATTGTATATGGCTATGCTAGTGATCTCTCAGAAGGGGTCAAAATGGAAACCAGTAATGGGAAGTGAACCACAGCTCACAGTATGCACTTTACAAAATGTGCAATCAAGTATTCATTCTGTAAATATAGATTTAATCAACAAATAACAATTACCTGCAAGTGAATTGCTGACAGGTGAAACCAATCGTACATAGTGAAATCGACTGCCAGGAACCTGAATCTGCTGCACGGACCCAGCACTACTGATAGCAACTGGCTGCATGCCCTGAGTCACCTGTGGGGCCATAACAGCATGGACTATCTGCGATGACCTGACAGACTGTGTCGTTTGTGGAGCCAGAGTTGGGAGAGATTGTGTTTTCAGCATGAAGGATGAAGAACCTGATGGCTGTTTGATGTATGAGACACTTCATTAACAATATGTTCTTTCAGCCAGAATTTTAAAAAACAAACTAATTAGTTGGGGGAAAAAAAGGGGGGGGGGGGGTGTGTGTGTGTGGATGCAAGCGCACTCATGCCCACCCATGAACTCATCTACAGTAATCAAGCAGAGACATTTGTATCCATTACTGCCTGATTGTCAAGGAAGAGGCAGAGCATGTCTTGAAAGAAACCATAACTCTGGTGTTGCCCCTCCCACTAACAAGATGTTCCACAGTTGCATACACACAGCCATTAAGCCCATGCAATAAAACTTAAAAGATCATGAAAAATAACACCTATAAAAATAACACAACAGGAATGTTTTATTACCTAATCATAAAATGGATGGCAGTCAAATTTCAGAATCTTTCAAAAATCATCTGAGACAGAAAGGTTTTTTTTTTTCAAGTATCCAGAAACCATGAGTTGTTAACCCTTCGGCTCGGTACTATGGATATTGCAACCCTTCGGCCTTGATTCCATGACAAATACTGTAAATCTGGGAGTAATGTGGCTTTTCTGCCTACCTCTGGGCATGAACCTGGACCACAGGGAGTTCATCACCCGGTCGTCGCGATGTCAGCTTTAACCAACTAAGCTATCGAGCCAGGCAGACAAAAAGTTAGCACATGAACTTGCTATCCCTATACATGATGTGGTGCAGAAAATATGCAGGCCTAACACTTCACACGCTTGTAACATTGACTGCCATATGATCACCACACTTACTGTCTCATTAATTTCAATTTTGGAGAATTTGAGTAATCCATCACTAATTGCAGACCAAAAAAAACAAAAACAAAAACACTGGAAGTCTGGAAGAAAGCAGCACATATAAGTGTGCCCACTGCTGATGAGCTTAGCATTCATTGAAGTTGCTGTAGGGAGCTGACATGGTGTAGGTCATGGGTTCAGGTTGAGGCGAAGCCAGACTTTAAAATAATAAACTTTGGCTCCTAAGTAGACCCCATTTTTAAAGGGTCCCAGGTACAGTCCTGGGTAGTAAAGGGGACCAGCATGATACTGATCACAACACCCAAAGAGTACCAGTTGGTCTATAAAATATAACTCTAGCCCTATATGCGTGAAGGTGTGGAAAAAGATCTTTTACTTTACTTGAAGCTGCTCTAAGAAGCAATCACAAATCTCACATGTGGGTGTGGAAGGAAAGGTGAACTCCCATCATCACATTCGCAAAGAGTTTGTTATTATGTCAAAAAACTACAAAGGAGGTGTAAGATGTTGAGAAACTTCATACCACACTTTGGACTGAATACGCTGATGTGAATGCACAAAACAAATGCTTTAAGTGTAGTAGAATTTCATTAAATAATGGTTCAGACTGTGTTTTATATAACCACAAAAGAAAATCAACAGATGATAATTCTGTCAGAATATTAAAACTCCTTGGACAGCCACAATCAGCAATCTGAAAGATGCACAGCCAACTTATAATCAGAAAGTAGCTCTCAATAGTTTTTTGGCCACATTATGAGAAGAGAAAAACTTATTACTTATGGAAAGAGAGATGAAAGATGATGAGAAAAGATTCATGAGTCTTTTATTATAGTAAGGGAGAGTATCCACACATGAAAAGATACAAGATGAAGATCACAAGATGTGGATGCTTGACTGTCAACACTAGCTGGCTTCAGAAGATTGCTTAAAAAAACTATACAAAATTTTTTTTGTAAAGCAGGCATTCATGCAGATGTACAAACTATCCAGTTTAAGTAAGTATAAACAATGGATGAGGAACTTACTGCTGGACCCTGCTTGATGATCACTTTGGAAGGAGATCCTGACTTTAAAGGGCCACTACCAGATTGGGCTAAAGTATTCAAGGCGTGCGACAATACTGTAATGTTTGAGCTGATTGATTTGTTAGGCGATCTAGACACAGGAATCATGGTAATTTTGGTAGGTGTTTTTGCAGGAGAGATTGGTATTTTATGGCACGGCAAATTGATTTTTGGGATACCTGTACCAGGGATCGTTGCAATGACAGTTTTCACAGGTGACATGATGCCTTGAGATGTCAGTGTCACTGTTTTGGTGGGTGAAGTGCCTCCACTACTGTCTGAACTCAAGCTACTGCTGCTGGGTAGTGAGGTCAATGTGATTGTCTGGGACGAGGACCCGGCCGGAAATGGTTGGGGCTGTCCAGACAAAGGATTTTTAGTAATTATAACTTTAGTGATAACATTGCTGCCAGATGATCCATGGGGTCTTTTCAGCCCTGATTTCTCTAGAGAAGTGATGTCTTCAATAACGGAAGATGGTGCAGAAACTAACATCTGCTGGCTAGTGGAGCCTGGTTTCTGCCTTACTATAATGTGACTCTTTGAAAGTGTAGCTCCGTTGTTTACTAACGAGGGGCCATTCATTACTGTTTTAAAAGGCTGCTGAATAATGAACTGCCCAGTCTGATTCTGAACAGTTAACAAATTAAGTGCAGGCTCCATAGCAGATGTGGTCACTGCAGCTACTGATGCCTCTGAGAGTAACGATGATGTCAGATTTGACTCATGACTGTAGCTCGATGAAGGGTTTGCCATTATAGTCTCTGCTGCAGACACAACCTCCATTTAAGAAATCTTTTATTCATGGTTTTCAAATGATGAGGTAATGAATATAAGGAGATGGTAACAATTCATCGAATATAAGGAGACAGTAACAATTCATGGCTCTTTCATAATCTGTGGATGAAAGAATTTGACAGTCTTAAACAAAATTTATAATTACTAACAATTCAATATTTCAGGTCAATAAATTTAAATATTTAGGAACAATCATATCATCAGATGGAAAATGTGTGACAGAGATTAAAAGCAAAATAGGTCAAGTGAAAGCTGCATTTCAGAAAATAAAAAATATGCAATAAATTGCTCTCATTTAACAAGAAAGAGGGTGCTAAAATGTTACATAGAACCTGGTCTGCTGTATGGCAGTAAATCTTGGAATGTCAGTGAACAAATTAGGAAGAATTTGGAAGCAACAGAGATGTGGTTTCTGAGACGAATGTTACAAATACCTAGGATGGCCAGAGTAACTAACAACAATTGCTTGAAAGAAGCTAATAAAAGTAGATCTCTATATACAACAATAAGAAAGAGACAAACACTGTTCTTTGGCCACATAATGAGAAGATAGACATTAGAGAACATCGTGACAACTGGAAAGATCAGTGGAAAAAGGGGTAGAGGCAGACCAAGAGAGATGATGCTGGATGGACTGAAACGATGGCATGGAGGGATATCATCAAGAGAGCTGTTCCAGGCAACCAAGGATCGTGATCTGTGGAGACGTGTGAGCGGCAATGGCAGTTGGCAGGGCACATAATGAGGATGATTCAAAATTTTCATTTTCATGGTACTGGAAATGTATTGAAAATTTGCTCTGCTTTCCAATGTTTAGTTATTTCACAATTAGTCAACAGGAGTCACGGTCCCTGCTCATGGATATTTCCATTAAATAACAACAGCGTCTGTGGCTTGGGAGTTGCGAACGAGCTTTGTACCGGGTTTGATCCCAGCTGCAGACCTTGCACCAGTTTCGACAGTGGTTTTGAAAAGCCGACCACCCAGAAAGCAATGACAAACTACTAGACGTAAATCAGCCTAGAAAAACCATAACAGCTAAAAAATCTGTGGTTGGTTCTGCAATGTCCTGTAAAGGAAACGCAACTAACATTTTTTTAACAACAGATTAAACAGTATTAAAAGCTTATGGTTAATCACTAGCAAGGAAATCAAAATTAAAATTCTGACAGCATGCATCTTCCCTGGAGCAACATACGGATGTGAGCTGTGGACTTGTCTTCCAGTCCTTAAGAAAGAGAATAGGGGCTTTTGAGCTGAGATACTATAGAAAGATTCTCAGAACACCATGGACAAAGAAGTGAAGAAACATAGACATTTTAACAGATCTGAAAATCAAGAAAGATTGGCAAATTAACAACAACTTGTCTTGGAAGCTGAAATATTTTGGTCATATCAAGCACTATGGCAGACTGGAAAAAATAATAGCAGAAGGCATAGTACCAGTAAGAAGGGGCAGGAACCAATCAACATGAAGATGAGCAGAGGATACAAGTGACTCCTTAAATATGAAATTACATGAGGCGGGAGAGCTGGCCAAAGACCTAGTTTCTTTTAGGCAGACTGTGATGAGGACGACGTTCTGCAAAGGACCTGCTATATGACGATAAACAAAAGATAACGGAGTGTTTATGGGTATGCCCCAAGTGCTGCAATAATAGTGCTTGACACAACTTTCTATATATGTGATCATGTCTGTTGTGGAAATGTTAGTATGTGATCATGTTTGTTGTAGAACTGTTAGTATGTGATCATGTTTGTTGTGGAACTGTTAGTATGTCACCATGTTTGTTGTGGAAACTGTTAGTATGTGATCTTGTTTGTTGTGGAACAGTTAGTATGTCACCATGTTTGTTGTGGAAACTGTTAGCACGTGATCGTGTTTGCTGTGGAAACTAAGCATCTGATCATGTTTGTTGTGGAAAATGTTAGCGTGTCACCATGTTTGTTGTGGAACAGTTAGCATGTCACCATGTTTGTTGTGGAAACTGTTAGCATGTGATTGTGTTTGATGGGGAAACTGTTAGCATGTGATCATGTTTGTTGTGGAAACTGTTAGTATGTCACCATGTTTGTTGTGGAAACTGTTAGCAAGTGATCGTGTTTGTTGTGGAAACTGTTAGCTTGTGATCGTGTTTGTCATTGAAACTAAGCATCTAATCATGTTTGTTGTGGAACTGTTAGCCTGTCACCTTGTTTGTTGTGAAACTGTTAGCATGTGACCATGTTTGTTGTGAAACTGTTAGCATCTGATCATGTTTGTCGTAGGAACTAAGCATCTGATAATGTTTGCTGTGGAAACATCATCTGATCATGTTTGTGTGGAAACTGTTAGCATGTCACCATGTTTGTTGTGGAAACTATTAGCATGTCACTATGTTTGCTGTGGAAACTGTTAACATGTTTGTTGTGGAAACTAATAACATGTGATCATCTTTTTGTAGTGGAAACTGTTAGCAGGTGATAAGCGTTTTGATGTGGAAACTGTCAGAAGGCGATCACCTTTTTGTTGTAGAAATTGTTAGCAGGTGATCATTTTTGGGGAAGGTGGGGAAAGGGGGGGGGGGGGGGTTTAAACTGTTGAGATGTGATCATGTTTGTTGTGGAAACTTTTAGCATGTGATCATTAATTTTTGTGCAATGTCCTAAGCTTAGATGGTCATTGTTGGCATCTTACATGATCACTACTAGACTTGTGATAAAACAACTATTTTCTCGTCCCTACATGTAGTTACCAAGCATTTAATAAATGATTTTCGTCTTTGCTATGACAACAACTGTAGTTCAGCAGTGGGAAGTGATCTTTAACTGCTTACTTTTGAGTGGTAAAAAACTATTACAGAACATAGCAAGAAACAATACATTTTAGTAAGATTCATGTTAAAGTCAGTATTTATTCTGAACAAAGAAGTTGATCATTATTATTCCTCAGAGTTTATTTGCTAATTTGCACATAGGTGTTACTGTTAGTGGCTTGGTTTGTTTTTCATTTTCATTGAGTTTGTTTTGTTACAGGGAAAAACTAAATGAACATCACTGATGTATTGATTCTTGTACCTCACTAATACCACATTTTACCATAAGTCTCAACTGTTTCATGTTTTTACAATAAGCTCTATACTTCTGTTATGCAACAGAGAGAGTGAAAAGGGAGAGAGAAAATATGTGGAAAAAAACATTGACCAATCAATTAAATACCAAATTATTTTCCAGAGGTTTAAATTAAAGGTATGATCACTATCCATTATGATGATAACATATACAATAATTTTTATAGTTTTTCAAATACAACTACAGTGGGAAAACAACGATTTAATGTATATATTATTTACTGATATTTGGTTTAACTAATTTTTTTATTGTTTAAAGTTTAAACTACTTTGTAAGAACTGCGCACCGTGGCTATGTAGCGACTACGGTGTCCGGAAATTTGCGATCTTTTGGCAATTTCCGTTACCACGGAAACGGTTCGAAACTTGCTTCGGAAATGTCGGCTCGGGTTTCGGGATGGGTCCTAATCTCTCATGAAATTTTGCGATAGGTGTGATTTTCACCCACTCTAAATAGCTGAAAACAGCAGGAAGGAACCCGATTAACAGCGCATGTCTACGACAGCCGGACGTCCTCTGTTTTTCTGTTACATCAGTTTGATTGAAAATAGCGGTAAAGTTTTCAAGGTTGGCTTTGGTCTTAAAAATTACCTGACATGGTAATGCTAGTTATAATTGAATTCTTCGTCCAATTTTACATTTGTGTATACAATTTCTTTCTTGTCCGTGGCTGTTTAGATTTACAGTAGCATTTTTTCAGGCAATCGCTATTATGTGGCTGTGTCTCATTCGTCATTGGCTGCCATCTTGTCCAATGACAGTCCAATGTAAACAAAGCCAAAACGAAAGTAGCGCAGTTTGGCTGCGCAGAGAAAACTTCTTGTTTCTGGGTCACCAGTTTTAGCAGCTGTTTTTTACATCTCATCTCCACAAAATCCTTCATGTCTCAGCTCAGAAATGACATACAAGCCTAAATGAGGTACCATTGGAAAGAGATTGTTTACAGCTATCTAACTGTGCTGGTTTTATTATTGTAGAGGGCATTTTAAAAATTTGACTATAGTAACTAGGCTATGGCAATCAGCAGTCGTGACAGGACAATCTTATCTTCAGACAAAAGCCATTGTTACTGTGAGCATCCTGACACCCCCGAACAACAAGCACATCATCGGACCTACCATAAATCATGTCTCGGTAGTCCTCGAGACAGCGACACCGCGAATTTGATAGATTATCATACTTTGACTCTGAACCGACGTGAGAGGGTCAGATTTGGGCAATCATGATGGCTGGCACAGTGGGCTTACATCGAGGTCAACTCTCACACCACTCGACGTTAAATTGCCCAGCTGGAAGCTAAGGGCCTGCGGCAACACTTGTTGGAACACTTGCTAGTTTCAGTTATGAAATAAACATCATTAAACATAGAAGCTGTAACATCTACTCCCAAGGTTTAGTTCAACTTTTTGTTCAAAATCACGCGCCCACCATTGCCATCCCATAATTTTGGGACAATATTTTTCAGTCAACTTCCGCGAAGCCGTAAGCAAAACTCGAACGGGAAGTTGGCCTGGCTTCATTGGCCCGGGTCCGTAACATCTCCATTCATGGAGGAATCGTTCCTTATTGCCACTGAAATAGCTAGTTAGTTAATCGAAAGACGATCCTCATTGCACATGGGACAAGTCCATAAGTGCTCGGATCCCATCTTGAGTATATCCTTTAGCTTGTGGCCACTGATAACACCAGTTCTCTGTCGGTTTATTCTTCTTTGAATACCTGTATATTGTTTGGCGACACCTCTTTTGACCTGAACCTCTTGTAGTTCTTCTTCTTCTTTCGTCCGCTTAAAATAGATTATATATATCTGCAATGTTATGTCTAGTATGAACTTCACTGTCTTTTGTAATTCACTCAGCGACCCTGTAAAGTTTGACG